AGGAAAAGCACGAAAGTAACAGAAAAGCAGAATGATAAAAACACCACTGTTATAGTTTCAGCAATTTTATGGAAAAGTGAAATTCATATTATTTATATGAATTTCACTTTTCCACAAAATTGTTTCTGCTTTGCTTAAAGTCAATAAGTTGCTGTAAACAGGAAAACTTTTTTATGACCTGAATCATAAACGGAGCAACACACTATCATCCTACAGACTATCATCCTATATCAGGTGTAAATCTCAAAAAAATTGATGAATTTTCCAAATTCCCAAACTGTAAAAAAATATATGAAAAAATTCAACTAAAATTAATAAAATAACAATCACCGATGAGGTCTGTAATTTAGCGAATGCTTTGCAGCATCGAATAGACGGCCGAAATGGTCTCTTGACTCAACATCGACATGGAGGCGGTAACCGAGAGGGAAAACTGCTAATGGCTTTTCCAGCACTTCAGAACATTTGACTTTCAGATGAAGAGATACTACCGAAGTAACCTGTAATTTTCATTTTCAAAGCAAACGCATTAAGAAAGTATTATCAAAAGACAGCAGAGAATGAAAACCATAACATTATGACAAGATTTGATGAAATATCTTTTCAGTGAGTTGCATTTATTAAAACCTCTGATGAATGGATTCACATTTTGATAACTGGTTTTTTTTTTTTTTTTTGCAAAATAAGATAATTGTGTTGCGCAAACTAATTCATATAACTTACGGAAACTGGTAAATAAATAAGTTCCTTATGAGGATATTTTGTTTCCTTCAATGTCAAAGCAGCATCACCAACAGTGTGAGCTAGTAAGGTGCTGTTGCTATCACCGACAACAGATATATAAGCGGAAAGTTCAGGTGGCACCATAAATTGCACTGAGCTATCTTTCCTGGAAGAATTAATTATTTAAGAAAGTTAAAATGTCTTTCTTAATTTTTTAATCATCTTAGTATAAAAGAAAAAAGACAATAAGTGCTCTCAAGTAAGGCTATATTTTACATGTAATAACGCCAGTATCAGAAAACACTTTGCAGCAGTAGTTTTGAACAATAATATATGGTTATTGAAATGCATAAAAAAGTTGTACAGAGTTCTGCAATCACAGTCTTCTTGATTCTCGATGTTATTGAAATACTAACAAAAGTTAATTATGAATGCGTAATTAACGTTTGTTAGCACTTCAATAACATTGAGAATCAAGAAGAATATGATTGCAAAATTACCTGTTGCTTTTCAAATCAAGTTCTGCATCTGGAGAGAGGCGTAGCGTGTGAGGATAACGTGGTGGAACTGTTAACTGTAACGGTTCAATAACTGTCACTATTAATTGATCTTCATAATGTTTGACTTTTTTGGAAAATGCTTTCGAGTTTTCAGAAGCAGTCACCAATACGTGAATTGCTGCTTGTCCAACTGTCAGTGCTTCTAGTTCTATTTGAAATCGATTTTCCACCGATTCAATCACGAAAGTCTGCAAATCATATTATTTTTAGGTTAATTTTGGCCAAGACAAAGAGGATCAAACTAATATAATCTTTTACTCATTCCTTCAATTTACAAATATTTCTCGAAAAGTCAGTTTAGCCACAACAGTTTGCAATTCTAACAGTAATGAATGATGCACTGCTCTATCTCTCTCGCTTAATGAACATATACAGCCAAAATTATAAATTAATTGAAAAAGAAGGTTCCTCCTACAATTCTTGACAAATGCCTTCCAAGAAGCAATAGCGAACACTTACATCAACTGGTGATACAGCTTCGATAATGCCTGGTGTGGTTATTCTCCAGGAGATCTTCAATGGATAAAGTGCTCCACCGAATGAAAATGGTGTTTCATTTTCATTAAAACCATCGACGCGAGCCCATCCTTTTTGACCGACTTGTATTCGTGATGTAGAGAGATGTATATGAACTCCGGTAAGTAATACTGTTTTAACAATGATATAATCCTAAAATAATTTTCTCATAAGATATCCATGTTGCAAATATAACTTCAACAACCAATATTTAGATCCTTTTTTACATGCATAAAATATATATAGTATTTATGAAAAAATTAATTCTTTAGGACAGAAATGAAAATACTTCAATGGTTGGAGTATTGTTGTCCAGATTAACAGAGCCTATAATTTTCGCATATCCAATTCCCTTGCTTGTTATTAGCCCATCTGATCCGACAACAGCTACTGAAGTATCATTGAGACGATACTGAAGAGGTGGCAATGGCTGAGGTCCACCAGATATTTCTAGCTGCAATGATAGGGCTATATACAATTAAATGATTGCTTTTTCAAATGAACGTTTGAGATTTATTAACAATAATACCTCTTAGATAAATATTTTTCAGCTCTTCGGCTATAAAAGTGAGGGTGAAAGTCCGTTTATGCAGCGAGTTTATTTATTCTAATTGCGATGCTACATTAGTTTAAAAATACAGCAAAGCATTCTCAGTTATAAAATTATCGCTCAAATTATTTCTAATAATTCTCATTAACTAAGACAATATTAATTAAATTGTAACACCTGGAAAACAGAGTCAGGAATAAGAGTTATCAGTTTCGGTTGCAACTGTAACGGTGAATAAACTTGAATGCCATGAGATTGGCTTTGTAATATTCGTCCATTAGCGCGTCGGGCGGAAGCGCGAAGTGTTACAACACCAACCACATTACCACGCAAAATGTAATGTAGGGCGTCAACCCTTAAACAAGTATTTGTATTCAATCAACTTTAAAAGTTTACATTTTCAACGATGAGCAACATTTAGCCCTATCACATGGATATGTGTAACTCAAGAAAGAATACTTTTTGGATGAAAAAGCAATAAAGTAGGGAAAATAAAACACCTGGTTATTGATAAAATATTAGACGACGCGTTTAGCTGCACATTCATGATATCAGCATCATCCGTTACGAAGAAAAGACCTTCCATATCACGAATTTTAAGTTGTAGTTCTTGTTCGGTGTTTAAGGCTATCTATAACAAAAGGTTCTACTGAAGAAATCATTTATGAGTAGTGAATTAAAAAAGCAATCAATAATGCATACTGACATTTTGATTGGTGAAAATTAAAGAATTTGATCATTTCCAGTTTTACCATTGAAAAATCAGGCCAAATTAAATGGCCAAGGATACCAGTGTTCCAAAAAGTTTATAAAAATGTGCAACTTAAGAAATGTTACTTAGTTACTTACAAATGCAGGCGCTTCGATCAAAATCTCTTCTACATCTGTCACCGAAATCGTAGCTGTGAAATTTTGGTTAAGACATAAGTCCAAAAATTGGAGCTTTGATTTACCAACAGATAACGGATGCACCTTTAAAGGGTATTATCATAAAGCTACGGTAATATGTGTGGTTTATTTTAAAAACAAATTTATTATTATACTATTAAGAAAATGTAGGAAATATAGCTATTGAATCAGTCATTTTTTTTTCATTTACCGTCATAGAAACAGTGTAATTTCGTTACCTGTGCAATCCCATTAAAGATCTCAGCGTCCAACACACTCGAATCATAAGCTACCAACGCAAAATGTCCTGAACCGCGTTCCAATCGAATAGCTTTTGAAGCACTTTTTTCATTTAGCAGTACCACTACAGATGGCACCGCTTCTGCATTTCGGACCAAATCTACCTGTATCTTACTTTGCAACTCTTGTGGTAAATGAAATTGTCGATCTCCAACCTTATATCCCCGTGTTGACGCGATAATTTTCACTGTAGCAACAATTTCCCGTGGCTTCAGAATGCCACGTACTAAACATTGAAATGGCTCATATATTGGATGTATAGAAATAAACAAAGGTTTTTTAAACTTATTAGGCTGAATAAATCCCGTGATAAATCTCAAAACTGCCAATATTGTGGTATAAAAGAAGAAAATACTCACTGTCCTAAATGAAGAGATAATGTATTTAGCATCAGAAATAGTTTGGTAGTTACAACTCTTCCTTTCTTCCAAACGCTAGTCATTAAGATTGTTAATGAAACCCTGACATTTGAATGTATATGTTAAGTAACTTCCGAAAGAAATACCTTCGCTTAATCTATTCTCCTTATTTTCTTCCACGTGCGCTATATCGTTATCACTCACTTTCCAATTCACTTTTAAAGAAGTCAACGAATCAAACTGTTTCTCCAGTCCCATTGATGGTCCGGATTCACAATGTCCGAAAGCTGATACTGCTAATGTAGACGGTTGACTACAGCTAGCAGCACGCTACAAGATACAAGTTGTTGTAGAGATTTTCCAGTCTTTTTTTGTCTTTTTGAATAGGAAAAAAGCATTCTTAGATGAATCTATTAAATTAAGAACTTTAAGAAGAAAAGAACACAAACCACGTCCTTCGGACATTTACTTTGATGAGGTCTTAATAGAGATAACGACAGTCGTGTAGGTACACCACAACACACTCTTAATTTTGTTTCAGCTTTAGCAGGTAGCCGATTTGTGGGAGAAGCTTCATTACCAACAACAACCACGATAAGCTTAAAATTAGAACAGAACAGTATTCTAAAATATTCTTAAAACAATTTTCTTCGAAGAAATCTATTCAAGCAAATATTAAAAATTATAATTAGCGAATGAAATTGATGAAACAATTTATTGATTAGCAGTGTGAGGTTTTTCCAAAATCTCCTCACAAACATATATTTTGTGGTCATTCACCAAAGATGAGCTACTTAATAAGTGGATAGTTTGATCATACTTTAATTGATACGATATGAAGAACTTACTATGTCTCCTTTATTATCTTTACACGTGGCAATAGTTTGTCCATCCTGAGAAGAAAAGTCATCATTACTGATCAAATTTGATATGTCACTGTAGATTACTGCAAAGCAATATCTTCAGAAACTTGAGTTCAGAATTTATTACAATTAAAGTGAAAACAAATTACAAAATTACATTTTGAATAATATTTCGATGGATCCAGAATCCACGGTCTAGGACCACCGGATGTACGGATAACAAAGCTGCTGCCGAGCATCACGAATACTTCTGCAGGTGTTTCCAGCTAAAAAATTCTTACAAATTAGTACGAAAATCATTTGCACTTAAATAACGTACCTTTCTCAAATAAGCAGTAAATTGAAAATCCGTAATAACAACATTCATTTTCAATAACCCACCGCAGTTGCAGCAGACTTCAATAAATGTGATACCTAAAAAACAAACCTTCAATGGCAAATAAGCGGAAATTTGAATCGATGCAGACATATTACCAAACTGAACGGTTGCAATGGTATCACCCGAAGCGATAGCAGTAAGTGTAAAGCCGCAGCAACCATCGTCGTAAGAAGGCATTTTTCCACAACCACCTGAATATTTATACATTCGTAATATAACACACAAATATAGACACACACATTAAACACCTTTAATTTTCAAACATAGAGATTTTTGACTTTTCATTAAACAGCATACCTGATGCTATCTTAAAAATGTCACTGTCCTTTATTCTTATCGAGATATCAACACGACGACAATCGGATATTGTCACTTTTCTACCTCCTGAATTGGCGTAAAGAGAAACATGCAGGATTAAGTCGTGACCAACCTGAAATATGGCAACTGAACCATTTGACTGTCCACGATAATACCAGCTTTATTTATTTCAATATTAAGCAGTCCACTACTTTTCATACTTTAATATCCTCTGATCTCCTTCATATGCATCAGCAATACTGATCAATTATATATATATATATATAAGTATAAAGGGTCAGAAATTACGAAACATATAGTGGCCATCATATGTAGAATTTTGTTTGTTGAATTTCAGTAACGGAGAAGAATTTTTATTATTTTATTATTCTGAGAAAAATCTTTATTATTGAGAAAAATCTTGAGAAAAATTTTTATTATTCTGAACATTTAAAAAATATTCAGTTCATTTAAATATACCTCGGTTTCCAGATGAGATTTACCGAAAGCAATCCCTGTTGGTTGTAAAACCTGAACAATTGCTTTTCCAAAATGAGCACTGTTCTGAGCATCCTGTGCAATCACCTCTGTCTTACCGAGATTTCCAGTCAGCAGAATTCCACTGGAATCTATTGAAGCAATTTCCGGATTCATACTTAACCATGTAAACGATCCCGTACCGCCTCGTGCCTGAAAAAAAAAAAAAACTCGCATTTATGATAAAGATACAGTTGACAAAGATACTGCAAATATAACGACATCTAAATCATAATATTTAAAATATATTACAAGAAACAAACCACAAGTTTTTTAAAGTGAGTCTTTTTAGCATCGATGTATGGAAAGGAGACCAATGGAGGTATCACTTCAATCGGTTCTGATATCACGGCTGTTACTTCACCCTTTACCGATGATGATATCCTTAATTCTCCTTCCTATAAAAGAAAATTTCAATACTATTCCGATGAAATTTATTTCGGCTGTCGTAAAGGATCTATAAATAAAGCAAAGTGGGGTATGAAAATGAATTAATATCATAAATCTTCATGATAAAGTTATAATTTTTTTGTTAAAAAAGTTATTCATAAAAAAGTTATAATTTTTTTGCTTTATATTTGAAAGTCTCGATAATATCAAAAGACCTAACCGAACTCATGATTGCTATGAATGCCGCTCGTAATTTCACAGTTCCACTTTTTATAGTTTTCACATTGAAGTACGATTCATTATGTGATTTACTTAGCACTTTGAAGTATTCCCTGGATATAACACTTTCGAAAATTGCATTCTGTAAGATATAATATCAAACATTATATGCATAAAAAAAAGCATATCCAGAAAAAAAAATCCTACAACAAAATAAATTTATAAACAACCTCTGGAATATATAGGACATTATTATCAGCATCAGTCACAACAAAAGAAATATCATATTCCTGTCCTACTTCAAGGTACCATAAATCGCCACTAATTTTGATATATAAACTTGATGGTTCAACAACATGAATCCGAGCAGATGGAGGTTTTAGTGCATTTAATGACTTTACGTCTGAAAAATGGAGAAATTATATTTTTGAACCGGACTATAAACCAAGAAATCTTAAACGAAAAAAATCCATTCGACTACTTTCAAAAAATGAACCGGATCAGCTGGAATTTGCTAAAATAAAGATAATATATTATCACTTGCTTTCATATTACCTTTAGAATAGACAAAAAAAGTAAAGAAGCCTGAACCGAACAATAATGTGATAATGACAATTCAAAAAATTTATTTGTATTTTAAAAAATCTAACTTTCATCAATAAGTGATATCTCGGTTGTTCCATAACTTATAGCTGTGACTACAGATAATGATGAATTCAACGAGCAAATTGCTGCATCCTTAATCAGTAGCTGATATTGTCTTGAAGGTAAGTGTATTGCTGTAAATGAAGCGTATTGTGATAAAATATGAATATTATCTCTAAATATATCTCGAATTCATAAAATAGAGATGTAAGCTGTAACTGAGGTATAAATTATAAAGGTCCTACCTTCTGTAACGCTATCTTTAACTATTTCTGCGGCATAGTGCACACGCGATCCAACCGGAAGAAATATATCTTGAGAAGGTATGAGCAAAATATTCGCTACTACTATGAAATCCACGTTTTGAGGTTTCACATCCTTGAAAAAAATCACTTGTTATCCGAGAACACTACATGTAAACAACAACAAATATTTTAATTAAATTGATAAATATCAACAAATACCACGGAAATATCATGAAAGCAAGAGCAAACCTTATAGTGCGGTTCAGTCAGCTTCACTTTCAGAACAGCAGCACCCGTCGATATACCCTCAACTAATATCATATAACCTGAAAATACATCAGCAGATAACCGCACGATTCGAAAACGTATCTGCCAAACTTCTTATTTATAAAATATATTTTTTGTTCAACAGAGCGAAGTATTAAAATGAAATGATTATTGAAATATTAAAATAAAATGATAGTCTTCATTCTAAAAACTATCCATGTCCAAGTCGTCGGATAAGTATATTTAGTACAAATAAAGTAATTTATATAATATTTGGCATATTATTACTTTCTTTCATCTTAATAAATTAATGAAAAGAAAAAAAAAACTTTGGACAAAACAAAAACTAACCTCGTTTTTTATTTTCTTCCAACAATCGCACGCCATCAGGCGCTTCGTATTTTGATTGCGAAAACGGTACAATTCGAAGAGGCTTTTCCGATAAAGATGATGATTCCAAATGCCATTCAAATGGCATTTCGCCGAGACTAGTAAACATATCACCTATAAATTGCTTATTTAAATTATCATAAATATTTTTAGATTTCCAGAATTACTTAGAAGGACAGCTGGCATTAAAATCTCTACAAAAGAAAAAATACTCATTGAGAGAGTTTTAAAAGTGTTAGAAAAGTAATTTAAAAACAAAAAATTGAGTATTAAAAGAAAAAAAGGTGCAGGATGAAGAATAACCTAACATTTAATCTGATTTTCTAAAACAAAGTCAATAGTATCAAAAATCATTCTCTCAAATGTCCTCTTCCTAAGTTGCTATTTGTCGTGAACATTATCATCCAATTCGACAAATACACACTATAATTCATTGCTGGAAATTAAAACGACATCACACCTACCAAGCACCAGTCACTAATCTCAACATTTTTAGAGTAAAATTTCAGATTGCCAAAATTTGAAACCATTCGAAAATTTAACTAAGAAGTGAAATGCTTAACAGTATAACAGTGTTTAACACTTTTGTATTTTTATCTCATTTTAATTCGAAATTTAGAAACAGCATTCAGTTACCAACCTTCAGCATTGTATGCTTGCACAACAATTTTTGCTGGTGATGCATCTAGAAACAAGACTTTTGTAGTAGTTGAAACCGTTATGCTTCGTATAACGTCAACTGTTACGCCACAGCTCAAAACCACACCAGCTTCTACAAAAAAAGAAAACATGTATTTGTAACAAAATTTCCAGATGACATGATAGGCTCATAAAATAAGAGCATTTCTATCACTGTCTGAAGTTCTTCGCCATTAACAGGGATTCAAACTGAGTACTGCTCATAAGACATAACTTTGATTGCGAAATAGAGAAATTGAAGTAATTATCTAAAAAAGTTAAATTAAATACTTGATAACAGCGAAATCAGCAAAACTTCTGATAACAAACAAAAAAGAAAACTGTAACTAAAAAAGTTTTTAATAGTAATCGAATTTAGAAAGTTGTAAGCACATATATCAAAACAAAATATTATCAAAGGCAAAATTCGGACTCCTCAATTTAAATTTAATTTTTGGAATTTGCTAACAAGCTGCATACCTTTATCTTCAGCAAAAACAACAGCCATCTGCTCCTCAGCATACTTCGAAGTTGCGGAAATCTGAGCTTTTGCTGAACATCCCTTTATACCTACCGGATTTACTGCTTTTACTGCGACAGTATCTGGTCGAGTTGACCTCCTAAAAGAGTCACTTTCCAACTATTTTGAAAATGCTTGCTAGCTAAGAAGTAGCACTGATCATTTCAGATTCTCATTCGAGTTTCTAATAAAACAAAAGACTTTTTAAAATACTTGAGCACTTATTTGCTATGCACTCACTCCATTAACTAGTTTGAAGAAACACTAAAGTGCATTGGAATATACGTACCATGTGAAACATCCATTTGTCGGATCACTGACGATTAGGTCAAATGTTACTTGAACACTGGGATGATAAGGCAACAGTACCCGTGGTACATTTAATCGATAACCACCCGTCTGCAGTACCAGGTACCATAACAACCAAAGTAACAAATGACGAAATGCAGACATCTCTCTGAAAAATACGCATATGCATTGATGACAATCTCTTTTAACTGTAATAATAAAAGTGAGCAAATTCGACATAACATTACTTCATGACATCTCAAGCGATCATCGAAATATCACACTTCTAATTGATCTTGATAAAAATATTTGGGCGTTGAATTCAATATTAATCATCAGAATAGCATAAGCGATGATTTCAGTATCGAAAAAGGATCTACCAAGGTCAAAAAGCAAATCCATTTGGTAGTTCAGCTTAACAATGATTGCTAATAAAAAGATACGGTGCTAGCATCTTTTATTCTTCCTTATTTTATCAATTACGGTAAACTATTCACAAATTTACTTCATCAATATTCTTTTCCTTTACGATTAGCTACTTTCAAGCTCCCAATTTTATGATAAAACAAATATTCGAATATTCGACATATCCAAAAAATCACTCAAATCTTAGCAATTTAATTCCTGTGTGGTTTGAAAAATGTTTTTCATGGTATGATGGAAAAGACTGATACTTTCAAGAATTAGAAAAAAAAAGTGAGCAGCAAAAAAGAAATTTTTGCAATGACCAATTAACACATATGATTAGAAAGGTAAATTAACTGAAAAGAAAAACGGAATGAATTTTTTCCTAAAAAAAACCCACTTAATCAATGTAATATCGTTAAGCGTATAAAATTAAAATTACTATTTGAATGAAGATTTAGCGGCAAAATTTATGACATAGACAGAAGCAATAACAATAAAGAAAAATGAAAATAAAGAAAAAGAACGGAATATGGCCTTACCGATCATAGGCTCATAACTGATGGTGGAAGATTTAAAGTTTGAATTTGTGCTGCGAAATAGAAGATGCTTTCTGGTCCGGGAGCCAGAAAGTAACCACAACTGAATCCAAGAATTTGATGAGACAGTATGACCAATATTCTGAAATTAATCTGAGTAAAGAGAATGAGTTCGCAACCCCAACCGTGAAACACCCAAAACTCTGATTTAGTGATCCGGACTAATTGATGTGCCTAGCAGTAACTTTCTATGGCTCGTGGATTCGGAGGCCAGGTTTTCGGATGTGAGCACTTGAAAAAATAACAACTGCGAGGATGGATTATGAGATAATTTGAAATTTTCCATCAAACAAAACGAAATGCATGCGCAGAATTTGAAATGGAAATATTCAAAAGCCAAACCGAACTTAGGCAAATTGCAAGAAATATTGTAAGGTAATGAGGAAATAATATGCGAAAGAAATAAATGTTTATCGAAATTAATTATTTTGTAGTTATTTCTAACTTTTGCTGCGCAAACGATGTTTTTGAAAATAATTTTAAAAATTGCATTGAAGCATTTTACAAAAAAAAGGCATGGTACAAATACATTGCTTTACAGGAAAAATGAATTTCAAAGTGCTCCGCTTTTTTCTAAGTCCCAATTTTCGAAAGCTTTTTGTTTGCTGAACATGAAATTGCTCGATTTCTCCATATTTATTAGTAGTAATAAAGCAACTGTCACTGTTCTTTTGATATTGTCAATTATTGGACATTGTCAACAAAATATGATTCGAGAAAAAAATTGATGTACATTTTTCTAATATTTATATTTTATTTGTATATTTAATTTTTTATATTTTATTACATTGTTTTCTCTGTTGAAATGCCCATTTGATCCAATAATTCAGATAATTCCATAATTCACAACAACGTGCTTTAAACACCCTTTCATCTTTGATCAACACCGTCCTCTTTGAGGTATTCAAAAATAAACAAACAAGTAAACTTGTCTGACACACTCATAAATTTATGGGAAATTGTCATCTAACTGTATCTCTCGGAAGTCTTAGCAGTATAATATTTGTAAAGTGAACTTTTCCTTTTTCACTTCAGGCATTTTATTCAACTCGAAATAAATGTTTAAATAATCAATACTAAAGATTGCTATCAAAAATAGCCTTTTTGCTTCTTTTTAATTCTCAAAAGCAGAAAGAATGCAACAAAAGTTAATATTTCGTTTTTCTGTCGAGGATTACTTCCTGATAACACTGGTAAAAGTTGAGTAATGTTGACAATTATGAATCATTTTTTGTGCTTTGAGATATATGCTTTTGATGGCTTAAATGTACAAGCATTTATGTGCAAATCCTTTTGCATCTCTTCTTCAATTTGATCCTTTTTGGAGACAACATTGATGACTTTCCAAAAAAAGTTTCTGTGTGTGATGGTGTATTGGTTTGATTCGGGAGAGCTTTGTTGTTCGAATTTGTTGGTTTATTGTTGAGTTGACGTTATAAGATTAGTTGTATTTCTTTGAGATGGAGATTCTATTAGATTACGATCTGATGGATTAGGCTTGCATTCGTTATTTGGGTCTTAGGCCAATGAGGTCAGACACTGTTGACTTTGATGTGGCTAACTGATGTAATTCATCGGTCGGAGAGATATTTGGTTCGCGACAGTAAAGCCGAAGTTGACTGCGGGCAAAACCACAATGGCTACACAATACTTTACAAAAAAATGATAATGATGATAATGATTGTTCAATGACCTTTACGCTGGCTTATATATCCATTCCAGACAAAATGAAATATAATCTTGAGTTTTGATAATCGCTAGAAACACGATATTCTTTTGACAGTGCGGACTAATTGCTTGATACATACAAAGATCAAAGTGAAAGGTGATGTGCTTAGTAGATAACTTCAGAGTCAGACAATGTATGTTGGGGAAGGAAAAAGCGGTGAGAACAAAGGGAATTAATTGTTAGCTATGTTTGTTTCGCACAAAAGATAAGAAATCAAAAGGAAAATTTGTAAAATGAAGCTTTCTCAGGTTAACTGTAGAATAAATTTACATGTTTTATTGATGATGAATTTATTGTGATAATTTTATATTATGGATTACTCCGACAAGCACATCGAAAAGTTCAAATTGTTCATCCCAACGAATGAGTGATTGAGTGATCGGTTGATTTCTCAAACAAACACCGATCTGCGACAAACACTTTCAATTCCGTATCAGTGACACCGACAGGAATACAAACAATCTGAGATTATTTCTTGTGCAGCTCACAAAGACTGTAAAATGTACAAACATCACGCAAACTTTCACCCTAATCCAATTATTTTCCTGCATTTTACTGCACAATAACAATAACAGATTAAAGAAATTTTCAATGCTAATTTGTTAATTCGAAACAGAATGATCACTTAATTTGAATTAATCACCGAAATAAACAAACCGTTTCGGATGTGTGACACACCCTCAAGGAATTTTCCCATCCTTTGCAGTATATGTGCTTACATTTCTGTTGAATATGTGCCTCAAACAAATCTTCCACCTGTCCATTTTAATTTTCGTCCTTCCGTCGAATCTTCGGGTAAGTAATGAACGATTTTGAAGCGTAGAATTTAATTGGGATGTGGAAAAATATGATGAACAAACTGTAATCGATATTAGCTGTAAAAACGTTTCGAATCTCTTCAAAGTATGCTAAAATAAATTCTACAGGCGAAAATCATCACGCAACATCCGAATCAATACGATGCTGCAAACGTGATAGACACAGCGCTACGTGATGACCCCAATGAGTCACCGTTTGATGTGATATCGCGCATCAGTAAGGTCAATTTGGTCGCACTTGAAACGTTCGGTGAATTAAATCAATTTTGGGGTAATGCAAATCGAATTCTCCTCCCATTAGCTGGACAAATTGAACGTGCGTCATTGTCACTTTTACGTGCAACCTTTCCTCAAATATTCGGTGATTTGAATCCGTCGGACATCGCAACTGATAAAGTGACTTACCCGCCGGATAAATCTAATTTTGTGATTAAGGAACTGATCAAAGCTCTCGTAAGTTCAGCAAAACGAAATTCCGCCTCTTCAAATAGCTCAAATTAGGACTCGTCCGGTAGCTAATTTCTTTCCTTATCATTTTTCTCGATCTTATATGTTCCATGGAACTTATTTAAAGGTACGAATTCTAGCTTGTTGCAAGGTTTTTTCTTTCTCTTATGTTTGTGTCAGGATAAAGTACTGGTCATTAATATTGTTTTATTCTTTCTCTCAGTCTCGACTTCTGCAAAGTTTGTTCTCGAAATGTTTATTCAGTAATTGAAATATCTCTCAACATATAGCTCTTGCAATTCGGTGTTACGTGGAAGTTAACATGTTTGTCGTTACATTTTTCTTTCATGAAGATGACATCTGAAACATGAGTTGGGTGGAATATGGGGTAATAGTTATGCAAATTTAGATTTAAGTCCCAAGTAATGAAAATGAGCTGCAACGAATTCGCTCGAACTTTATTTATGCACGGATTACCAGAATTTTTTTTAAA